TGTGTAGAAGTATGACTTGTTATAATAAAGTGGGGAGAACTTAGCAAGGCCTATTTTTTAATACTCTTCTTGGTATCTTTATGTTTGTACTCATTTTCAGTGGGTGTAGGAAGAACCCACCTGGAATGAGGGTCTTATGAACTTTCGAGGAAGGTCAGACAATTCTTTCATGGCCTGCTTCAGAGAACAATGATGGAAGCGGGTCACTGAGACCTTCTTAATTCTGCTGTTTTCTCAAATACCAAGGAGCCATATTTTGAGGTATTATGCTTTTTTCATATTTATTAAGAGAATTATGAAAAGAGCAAGCATTTGTGTTTGTCATTATATAATATAAATGATTGTATACATTTTATAATAAAATTGTCTATCTTTTGTTTCAAAAGTTGGAGAGGAATGTGCTACTTGATGAAGGAATCAAAAAGAACACCACTATATATGTGAATACGGATATTGAGGGATTGATTATTTATGGACTGACAGAGACTCGTGGGCTCTATCTCTTATGGAAATAAAATTATTTCTTTATTGGTAAATCTCACATTTCCTGTGCTTTATAAAAATATGCACTTCTACAAGAATATTTTAAGTAGAATAAAATATTCAAAGTTTTAATTGAATAAAATAATTATAGTATAGATCATCCCTTTCTCTTGCATTCTTTTGGAATGCAAACTTCTTTTGGAAGTTTGTATGGCAAACTTCCTCAAGCTGATTCTAAGTACAATAATCTAGGGCTTCCCTCTTAATGCATTAATATATGTATATCTTTTCCATTTGTCTTGATATTTTAATAGCATTTCATATTTGACAATTTTTCTTTTTCAGAAGAGAAAACTTAAGGCAAGATACAAAAAATGATTTTCAATCACATCATGTGCTTGGTTTTGTAACAATATGACCATTTTAGAAAATATAAATGTCTTTCAGATAAAATAATAGCTTTGCCTGTGGTTTTCATATATTATTCTTTATCTGAAAGGTGTAATAATTAGGGGGCATTACTTTCCCTATGAAGTAAATTAGGGCCTTTTCTTTTCCTTTTTCTTTTATGTGAGTCTATTTATTACTTAACCAGTATGGCAAATGTAGCTTAAAATAAAAATTGTGCTATTACTAACGCAAAAGGTGCTGCCAACAGTGGTGAAGTAGTGGTTGAGGAGAGTTGGAATAAGAATAATGGAAAGGCTCATGTTTTAGCAGAATGGAATTTTACTTTGATTTATTGAAACGACACACATTAATAAGCAGTCAAACGATTACAACTCATAAAACATACTAGCTATCAGGCATCAAATTATTTTTTCTTCTACTTGACATGGTGAGTTAATCTGAGTTTGAAACAATATACAGATTAATGGAAAAACATGCTTTATAGAATAAATGGCAATTTAACAATTGAGTTGAAAAACACATGATGTAAGTGTGCCCCCATGTGGCTATAGAATAATTTGTAAGACTGTCAAAAAAACATGAGTGAAAAGAGCTTTTATTGGTTATATTTTTAGTGAATAATTACTCCATCCAAAGCAAAGAGTTGTCTCCTATTTTTTAAAATCGGTCCTGGTTACAGAATTTATAATGTCTTTCATAATTCTTGCAGATATTTTATATTTAGTGTTTACACACTTTATCTGCATGTCTATCTATTGTTCTGAACTGGTAAAGATATAAAAATCAACATCTTGTTTTTCCTCATGTTTCAGTATTTGGTTAAGTAAGGAACGAGTAGTTCTTTGCAAGTATTTTAAAATACATTTTGTGGCTAAAGAGGATGATGTTCCTGGACAGTTCCATTACCTAAAAATCTTGCTTGCCCATTTATGTGATGTGCTTGAAGTCTTATTTGTTTATAAATTGGGTTAATCAATAGAATTTTGGACATTTTTAATAAATATTAACATTTCCACAGAATTTGAAATGTTTTTTATAGAGATTTTTTATAGAGTTGGCAACGTTCATAATATTTTGACATTAAGATATTATTATTCCATTAGTAATCCTCTACATTTATTGCTGTCACTAATCCTAACATGCAAAGTCTTATGTACTGACCAATTCAAGTGTCAGGAAAATCTCTGTAAGGATTGCTTAAGAATGACCTTACTAGATAAGCCTACAAAGATTGCTCATTTATTGCAGTGTGTCTGTATGGGTAAACCATAGATGTGAATGACTTGGGTGTGTAAAAAGTGTAAAGCAAGAAAGATTAGGGGAACATCTCAAATAATAAATGAAGAAATGAAATGAAGAGAAATCTCAAGTAATAGATGAGGAAAATGTCAGTATAATCATGTTTGAATGTGTCTGAGTGCTATTCATTTTTATTTGCTTGAATGTCTTTCATTTGTTTGAACATGTGATTGAACAGCAAAGACCTAAGACTGCCTCTTTGGGATACTTTAAAGTCAAGGCACTGACTGTTCAATTAGAACACTGAATTTCCAATTGAAATGGTTGTTTCCATTTTAACCAACTTTAACATTGCTGTTCTCAGGGGAAATTCAGGCAAAGCAAATATTTCCTTATTTTCATTTTGTTACTTTCTTTAATTAGCCCATAATACTGTGCATCTACTCCAATTTTTTATATTAAAAACAAAAAAGTAAGATGACAAATAGATTCAATTTTAGAGATTTCAGTCATAAGAGAAATAATATAAACCTTTATTGTTTTTCTCTATTAAAATTCTGTCCTTTATAATTCACTGTTTAGAATGGCAATAGTTTATTGTGAAGTTAAGGTTTTTTTAAGTTGAAGTGAACTTAGGTAATTTTCAAAGATGTCAAGCTAACTTCCATTTTTGGTTGGTCATTTAATATTGTTTTTAAAGTTATCAAAGAACAATGTATTTTTCTTAAGGAAATATTGATGATTTTCATTTTTTACCCAGGTAAAAATGAGTTATATATTTTTAAAACACAAATTCAACTATTTTTTACATCATTTCCATCTAAAAAAGGAACAAAAAAAATCAGAATTGAAATCTAAATAGCAATAATAGTAATCAAATAATAGATTCTTTCCCTTCTGGAAAATTCTCCACTCGTTGGTGGAAAAAATAAGTTAAAGTAGACTAAGGGGGAGGGGAGACAAAGCAGTGGATTAAATCACAACATTTGTAATCCTAATTTAAAATCACATACCATTGAATATCTCCTAGTAAAACACTTACTTGTTGTCATGTAGGTATTGGTTCTTATTCAGAAAATATTATTCCTTAACTAAAGTATTGTTTGTGATTTTTTTTGTGCTTGATTTGTTATACTTCTTAATAGTTTATATTCTGCAGAGGAATTTCAAATTGATTTTAAATATACTTTCTTTTTCATGTAAATGTATTTGTTTTTCCTCCTTTATGTTTGGGGAGAAAGCCACAGTTACTCTAGTCAAAATTACTTATTGTGTTATGATCATTCCTATGTGTTTAGAATGGAATGTATTTATACAACAATGACATCACTATAACGAAGGACAGAGCCACCCAAGCCCACCCGAACTTCTGACTGACAAATTGCTTATTTTTTGTTCCCTGTGTCTCTCCTAGCTTGTAAAATCTAATGTAATCTCTCTTCACAACTATTCTAAATCATATGCCCTGACTTAATAGACTGACTTATGTAGCCTTTTGCAACAGTGTAGAAGGATAAATGATATTGAGATATACTTTAAGAGTATATTTTATAAGTGATAGACACTTTAAAAAGAAAAACAATTACTTTTTTGTCTTCATAAGTAGGATTTAGCTTGTACAGCACCAATTTATCTTTGAAGAAGTAGGCTTGACTATAATATTCAGAATGGACCATTCATACTAATAAAGAAGTACACGCTTACCTGCTCGTTTCTACTTCCCACTCATATTCCCAATACACAAACCAATGCCAAGATAGCAAATTATTTTTTTCTCTTACAGACTGGTACTGTTATCCCAAAATCTATGAGGTCATCAGTTTTAATTATGTTCCATGCCACTCTGAAATAAAATGTGAGGAATACTCCATTGAAAACTATCATTCAGGTATTTTATAATGGGTACTCGAACATACACTTTCTCTTCTCTTTTACTAGAATGGTATAAAAAGATGTATTATTGACATTTTTAACTCTAAGGACAAATTTGACACTATTTTTGTTTTTGGTGATATTGGGGTAGGAACTCAGGGCCTTGCACTTGCTAGGCTCTACCACTTGAGCCATGACATAGCCTTTTTGGCTTTTAAAATTACTTTTCTAATAGCATTGGTGATTATGCCCAGGTCAGCTTGGACCATAACAGTCCTATTTATGCTTCCTGTCCGGTTGGGTGGGATGATAGGCATGCCCCTGCACCCAGCTTTTATTTGTTGAGATGAGGGTCTCATGATCTTTTTGCTCTAACTGGTCTTGAATCATGATTCTCCCGATCTCCCATTCCTGAATAGATAGGATTGTAGGCATGACCCATGATGCCCAGCCAGACAGTAATAATAGTTAAGGAAAAATATGATAAAATTACATATATTTATTTTTCATATGTAATAATATAAACAAGAATACGGACAGTGGACATTTAGATTGCAGTTGCTAAACTGAGGGGTAGTTGACTGAGAAAATGTTTTGCGCTATTTATGAATTGTCTCTATACTATAGAAATGGTTACATTATTAATAAAAATGAATGCATCTCAAAATTTGGCCAATAAAAATGATATAGAAGACTGATTTTTCATTATTCTGTGACTAAAAATACGTCACTTGTAGTTTATTTCCAAGAAAATTGAGTGTCACTGATGTATACTGTTATAGTTATCAAACCAGATTAGCTTTTAGACCAAGGTCATTAGAAACCCCATCCTTCATGTCCCAAAGAAATCTTACAGTTATCAAGATGCAGGTTCCAGTATATTAAAATTTTGTGTGAGAACTTTTTTGCTTCATATTGCTAGCTATATTACTAGATAACTTATTATCTATTCAACTAATCATACAGCCCCTTTTCTTTTACATCTTAGAAAGAGCACACGAGCAATAGTGGAAAAGAAAAGGACTGACTAGAATAGCCCACAGTCCTTCAGATTCTCTTTGATTATTATATCTGTAACAGCGTCAAACACAAACTTGACATTTTGGGTGTCAGTAGCACAGGTCATGTGGGAATAAATTTCCTTATCTTCTTTTTTTAAATTCAGGTCTAGAAACTGGTTTTTTATGTAGTTCCCTGCATCTTCAAATGTATTTGGCCCTTGAAAACAAAGCAAAATAAAGTTAAAGAAGTAAACATTAATGACGTGTTACAAAGAATAAAACTATAAATTATATCAGCAAATCTTTGTATGATGCTATTTGATGTACCAAGTCTTGCAAAATCACAATGGCAACAGTCAGTTATCAGGAATTTGTGTAGACTCTTTTTGGTGTTAGAGACTATGTCTACCTCACTGGGGACTTGTGGGGGCTAAAATGTAAACTGTATCAAAAAGCTTACCATTCAGTAGAAATGCTAACAGGTTTACATATGAAAGTAAGAATACAAACCCATATATACATCAAATGCTGTGTGTTTGTGTTCCCATGGGTGTGCATGAGTTTCAACAGAAACTAAAGGAAAAAGAATGGCAATGATAGATGACTAGGTGAAGAAAGAGGTGGAACTTGAGAGATAGTTTAGAAAGTTGTAGAGAAAAAGTATGAAAGAAAGCACAAATCTGTAGTAGGAATAGCCTGTACCTCTAGGTTTGGGGGCAGGGTTGGGAAGTGGACTGAAGAGGTGAAGCATCTGGTCAAATGGAAAAGAATGACTTTGATAGAGGAATGCATGAATCAAGTAGAATAGATGGCATGACATATTATAAGCATGTTGTTAAGTAAACAGGAGCTGAGGTAAGAGATGGAAGGCTATTAAGAGCAATTTCTTACTCATGCTTTAGTACAGCAGTAGATGAAAGCTATGACTGAGAAAGTTTGGTAGCATGACATACAGTGGGTCAATTGGGGAAAAGCACAAATAAAATAGGCAGGCTAGCAAATACAGGGCAGAAACATGTGACCTATAATTGGCTTTATAGAAGAATATGCCTTGTAGAACTCAACAGAGGAAGCACCATAAAATTTTCCAACATAGTAAGATTTTGTTTCCATTTTATTGTTGCTAAAATTAAGATTCTATGAAGAACAATCTTCAAATCCATATATCATGGTTGGCCTGAGTGTGGCTCAGTGGTAGAGCTCTTGCTTAGCATGTGCAAGGCCCTGTGTTCAATCCCCAACCCTACAAAAATTTTTAAAAAGATTTAAAAAATGCAAATAACATAATAAAATAAAATTAAAATTGTATGATGTGGCTAAAGTAAAAAACACTGGCAAAATCTGATGTTGGCAAGAGTATGAAATCATAGGAACTCTCATTCATTGCTGGTGAGAATACAAATGGTACAGTCCCCTTGGAAGGTAGTTTGGCAGTTTTTAACACTGCTAAATATTGTCTTGCCATGCAATTCAGCAATTGTAGTCCTTATGTATTTACCTAAAACCTCATGTTCATATAAAAACTTAAATGTGGATATTTAGAGCAGCTTTTGATTTTCAGAATTATCAAATATTGGAAGCAACCAAGATATTCTTCAATAGATGAAAAGATAAACAAGCTGTAAAAACAGATCAGTGGTTTCTAGGGATTAGAAGTAGAGAAGGTATAAATAGGTGGAATTTAGAGGATAAAAATCCCCTAAGTAATAACATAATAATGCTGTAGTTTAGAACTGAAATGTGCCCCCAAAGCCCATGTTACAGGCTTAGTACTCATTTTGGTACTGTTTGAAAGTGGTGGAAACTCTAAGAGGTAGCCTAGTCGGAGGTCTTCGGGTCACTCAGGATGCGTCCTCAAAGTGGATTGTGGGACCTCATCTTTTTCTGTTTCTTTTCACTTCTTGGCTGCCTTGAAGTGAATAGGCTTCCTCTGCCACATACTCTTGCTGCAGACCCAAAAGCCACAAGACACTGATAATGGACGCATGGAAGCCTCCAAAACTGGGAGCCTTTTTCCTTGCATGTTGATTTACCTCAGGTATTGTTTACAGTTAGAGAACTGTGAATAACACAGGTGGATCTATGGCATTCATTTGATAAAAGATATAGAACAGTACAACACAAAGAATGAACCCTAATTAAACTGTGGACTTTAGTCAGCAATGTATCAACATTGGTCCAACAATAATAACATATATACCACATCAATGTAAGATGTTGATAACAGAGGAAACCAAGGAAACGGGACAAGCAAGGAATATATGGAGACTCTTTGTACTTTCTGTTCAAAGAATTCATTTCTCTATAAACTAAAAACTACTGTAAGAAATAAGCTCTATTGCTTACAAATAACCCTTAATTATGTCAGCATGTAATTAAAAACTACAAAGTATAGCATTGCACTTGCATTTAATCACATGATAAGGTATGAATATTATAAGCAATATCTTTATAGAATAATGACATATGCCCTAATTATAAATTAACTAGCATAGATAACTATTTTTGACAGAATACCGTGTTTCTAGTTCATCTGTACTATCCTAGTGGAATTGGATTTGTACTTTTGCTTATATCATAAAATATTTCCATTTTGTATAACTTTGTTAACAATAGGACAACCAAATATTTATAAAAACAGAAAGTTGTCTCTACAGGTAAAGCAACCCTTTCTAGGAACTTGACTTTGATAGTCACTGACTAACAGGATCAGCACTAAAATTCTGGGACCTAGTGAAACCACAAAAAGGGAAGTGCTATCATTCTCAGATTCATTCATCCTATCTATCACAATTTAGACATTGTAGAGCCACTGAGAGCTAATACAGCATAACAAGTTTTCATCAGGATGTACATTGAAAAATGCTTATTTGAAATAAAATTTACATTCCTATTATAATGTTGAAGATAACACAGTTTCCAGTGTCATTGACACATCTTATAGACGTGGATCATATTCATGATTTAAATGTGATCTTATGTCTCACCCTCACAAACACTAAATGTTAAGATCCACCTGGGAAAGTACATGTCTATAGAACAACTGATGACTGGAGAACTGAAGGACGAGAATCTTACCAGTATATTCTGGAAAGCAGATGCTGAGATGCACCTTGGCAACTTTTTCTTGAAAGAGATCTTTTTTATTAAGAAACAGGACAATGGACGTGGTTGCAAAATACTTGTGATTACATATGCTATTGAACAGGTGGAGACTTTCATGCATTCTGTTCTGTTAGGAATAAAAGATGAGAATGTGTAGAATTGTTATTTACAAATAGTGAGAGTTGGTAACATAAACTTTGTAAGGCATTCATTGAGTTGGGAAATGTGGTAGCAATATTTATTGGACAGCACAGATATTTGTTTTTTACCTTGGCCTTGTTTTTCATTCACACTTACCACTTCTTCATCTTCAACTAGGACCATATCATAGGCACTGAGTGCTGCACAAAATATAATGCATGTCACTCCTTCAAAGCAGTGAATCCATTTCTTTCTCTCTGATCTCTGTCCACCGACATCAAACATTCTTTAAAAAAATTAAATGAATAATGAATCCTTCAAATTTTACATATAGGTTAAAACTTAACATTATAAATGGAAGTGCCAATATATTTCAAACATATCTTTTTGATTTGTTGTTGATTATAAAATAAACCTTATTTTATTAACTTACAACTAAAGAACTATAGAAAAAGAGAAAGTTCTCTTTTTTTTCTGTTTTCATGCAGAAGAAAGTAAAATAATTCCCACACTGATTTTGAGCAACTGAAAAATTTAAAGCCGTTCGGAGTTTAGTAAAAATTTGTATGTTTATTAGCCTTAGAAGACTTTGATCAAAACTTCCCTGTATTTCCTAGGATGGACAGAAATGAAAGAAGAGTAGAAGTTTCTGTTGTTCCAATACTATGATTCCTACCTGTTCTCTTATCTCTTCCTACATTGATTTATTTATTCAAACAATTATTGTTTGCATTCTATGGTGCTACAACTTCTTATAAAAGAAGATATGATCACTGTTTCTAAAGAGCTGAATGGTAGAGAGAAAAATGAATAAGTGATGACTAAAATCATCACTCTGCTCCACCCTTCAAATTTTTTTTATTAATTTTCTAGAATATTTATTAATTTTCTAGAATATTGGGTTTCATTATGACATTTTCATACTTTCATATTATGTATTTTTATCATATTCACCCACTATATTTTAACAGATAAGAAATTCTGTAGTTCTGGTTTCCTCTGCTGCTCTAATTCCCAGGGTTTACTTCATGGAAAACCAACTGCTTATGGAAGGAGGACAAAGACAATTGGATGAATAGCATATTTGTGCTCATTGTTCAATTTCCACAGTAGAAGTGGCCATGCTATAGGAATCAAATTCTTAGGCACATTGGTATAATTCTCTCAGGTAAACAAGAATTGAATTTGCTCAATTAGCATTTGCTTTTGAATCTCCTTTCATCAGCTCTTATGCCCAACTATCCATTTCTCTCTATTCTGATTGGTACATTCTATCACATTTATATTTTCAATCAGTATGTTCACATATTAAAAGAGAGGAAATCATTCTTCTTAGGGTGATTTTGAATAACTGCTCAAATTTCTTGCATGGTGACTAAATACTTAAAACTCATAAAAAAATCTTATTTCTCTCATGTTAATAGTTTTATTTTGTTTTGTGTTTGGTAGGGAATCCCTAGTAAATAAAAGCAATGATAAGAATTATCAAGGTACAGGAATTCTAACTTATGATTTCTATGTAGGACATAAATTTCCAAGGTAAAGGAAAAAGGAACCTAGTATACTTCCTACATATTTATTTTCTTGAAATATACTTTCTTATATATTCATTAATACAATGCCTCAAATGGATATCCTCAATGAGATGAGAATCAAAGAGAAAAGAGCCTCACTGGCTCACTGGCTATATCCTTACATTCTCTGAGGATTTAACTTCTTTGTAACCTACTAGTGATACATTAATGCCAGGAAGAAGATGTAGCTATTCTACTCTTCAGGTAAATATAACAACTGTAATAAGTAATAATAAAATAATACCTTAGAGTTGGATACAATTCATATTGGAATTGTATGCTCTCCTTGAAAAGTAAATTCATGTCTAGACTTTTATTTGTTCCTGATAACAATTCTCTGTGTCAGAGGGAAAATATTACTATACCCACTTTACAAGTGAAGAAACTGAGCATCTGAGAAACTAAGTGGTTTGCTTCCAAATTCACAATGGTAAGGAGTAGAGCTTAGGCAACATGACCCTTAGTCCAGTGTTCTTTCAGCATATTATGCAGCTTCCAAGAAACATGTTTTAATAAGCTTAGCTTTCTCTCAAGGAAGGGAGGACAAAGATTAATCAGCCTTTATTCATATTGATAAAGTGGCTCCTAAAACACTATCCTAAAACACTTATGACTCACCTGATAAGCAACACTGGTTTTGTACAGATCAACATAGCACACATAAGCATTTCTCTAATGCCATTTGCTATTGATTGAACTGAAATGCTCATTAGCAAATGAGAGCAAGGGCCAGAGTTTTGCTTTTATAGTGAATCTCCTGGATATCATGTTGCCTCTAAGAAGAGTTAGATTTTGTATCACCATTATGGTAGTAATTTATTTCACATATATTTCTTTTCAAATTTAACTTTTTCTCTTAATTTGATTTTGTACCTATTTTATAGAGATTCAAATTTTTACAAATTAAATTTATTATTTATTAAAATAATATTGAAACTTTCAAAGTGGAGTATTTATTTGTATGTTTGACTATAGAATTATTCTCCCATAGCAATCATTCTGTGAAAAACAAACTTAAAACCAGAGAAACATACATGTTTGCTGCCTGAATGTTTAGAGTGATCAAATATAGTAGACAGTCAATAAGAATGGGCCTGCCTAAATATTCATAGTTCCCTGAATAAAGCTTTTAGGATGCTGAATGGAACTTATAGACCTAATTTTGGGTAATTTTTTTTTTTTTGCTTTATTTAGTAAATTTTGAGAGGAAGGTTAATAGCTATTTCCTGAAGTCTATTGTTTAAGTTAGGATTCTTGAAATCAAAAGAAAAGTTGTGAAATGATTGATTATGATATAGCTAAAATTAACAGACCAGGCTTTTAAGTGACAGCTGAATATTGATTTTCTGCTAAATTGGCCTAGGCATTAATATAGGGCAAGCCATGAAAGTTACATGAGTTTTTAGATTAAACAGTTTACTAAAGAGTTGAGTTTTTAAATTCTATTTTAAGCAATTGGAAGCTATTGGGTTTTTATGGTCTTATGTTAAAAATTTGGTTAAATATCTGAACACTGAAAATTACTTATGCTTTATATTAGAATAGATTATTATGAAATAATCTGCTCTTTATAATTTGTACAAAATAATTTTAGGCTAACTAAAATCAACAGTGTTTCTGTAGCTAATTTATGTTAGATGTCTTTGCTCAAACAATATGTGTGAAAAATAGCACCATTTCTAACATGTTCTAGTATATATTTGACCACATAAAAATAAGTTGTAATCTGAGCAGGAATTTATTTTGAGCTATTCTGTTGAATGGGATTTATTTAATTTGTTTAGCTCATTAGAGTTGGTATAATTTCTTAAGATGGCTACATATGAGAGAATCAACTGGTGAACCTGTGTTGTCACTACATAGTATAGCAAAATGGCCCAATTAAATCTTTCTCATGTGCTTAGTTCTGAAAATAGAGAAGGATAGGTACTTACAGACATCAAGGATATTCACAGAGGTCTTTCTAAATCCCTTAATGACTCTTGTTTTTAAAAGGAATCAAAAGGGCTTATAACCATTGGAACCATTGTCTCCAAATCTGTTTTACTATTACTTATTTTCTACTGAACACTATATTATGGATTTGTAATTTTAAGTGCTCACTAGATAATTCTGTGATTATTCCATAATGTAATTTATAAAGTCATTGAAATAAGTTTTACCATTAAATCAGATAGAATAATATCATGTACTATTTTGGTAATATTAGTATTTGCCATACTTGAAGCAAATATATAGTATACATGAGTTAATGTATGTGGTCTAGAAAATAACAAAGTTTATTTGAGATGTAGTTGCTGGGTTCACAAGTAGCCTCAATCCTAAACTGAGGTGACTCATGTCCCACACAAGTGAACATAGTGAGCATTATTCAATTTCATATTTCAGGAAAACTGTCATTTCTTTCACATCACAGAGAGGCTGCTTTAACATTCCTGAACACCGTTGCACTAAATTTACAAAATTTTAGGCTCTATGTTGTAATCATTGCCAACCTTTGTTCCTTAACTCTTAAATAGTTTACTTTCAATTCTGTTTTTTAATCATGGAACATTTAAGGGAGAAATTTACTTTTTTATAATTGAAAGTTACTTGTAGATTTACTTCTGAGTAACTTGTTCTGGTGAATTATTCTGTAACAATAGAAAGGTTTATATTTGCATTGTATTTTTTATTTATGTACCACTTTAAATATGTGTAAAAATGAGTTATCAGTTTCACAGATGGAGCTCTGGTTTCTTAAGGACTGTAAAGTAATCTCCATTAAGTTAGATTATGTAGCAAGGATGATACACTACCTTGGCAGAGAAGTTTTCATTTTGCTGTTGCTATTTAAAATTCTAGCATTTTCTAATTTAATATGTAAATTAAGTCTTCAGTTTTAAATAGTCATAGGATGACATTTGCTATATGAATACAAATCAATGCTACTGTTATATATTTTAACACCTGGGAAATTGCTGAAATAAAGTTGGAAGGTATACTATTTTATGTTTCTGATATTGAAATACAGAATTTTAGACTGCAAAATCCTATGTACACTGGATAATTCTGTTCAGTGATTCAACTGTGAGAATTTGTTAAGTGATTAAATATCTCAGTTATGTGACTAAACTTAAAATGTTTTTAAATGATTTAAAATAGCCTATTGTGAAAATGTCATTTAAAAATATTTTGTATCTCACAAAAAGCTGTCATTTTTATTCTCCCTTTCTCTTCTCTCTGGAAAGAATTATAAGTTACCAACAACATTGGAAGAAGCATTTACTCTGCAGAGAAGGAATGATTTTCACCCCAATTTATCTAATAACCTATTAGTGATACAAAGTATAAAAAATTTGGTTTTGAAAGACAAAAAATGCACTTCTATGTAAGACTTTGTAAATGTTTTAACTCTTGTTAGCCTCCTTTTCTTGATTCTTTGTTACATAAACATAGCAACGCTTAGTTAATCATGTTACATGAAGGTGTAAACATTGTGTACATAGAGAACTTGACACAGTATACTTATTCAGAAAAGTTGACTATCTGGTGACTTTGTTCTAGTCCCTGTGGTAAGCACTGGAGGTAAACAGACATGGCCCCTAGCATCCTAAAGCTCAGGGAATATGATGCAGAAACAGAAACAAAAAAAGAAATGAATAAGGAAGCAAGGCAACTCATATATTAGGAACTCTATAAAAAAGAGGAAAACAGTATGGTGGATTACCATTAGCATGGAGATGGCTCTGACTGGCATGGCAAGAGAGAGCTGTTTATTTACATTTTCTCCAACACTGCACTTAGAAACATAACATTAGTAGGCAGAGGTGGGGGTATTTATGCCACCAAAATCAAGGGCTACACATTGCCCACCCCGCCTCTCTCACCCCACTGCCCTAGAAAGCCTGTTGTTAAACACATTCTATCACATTGCTGGGGTTGGTAGTGACAAAGATATGCAGGGGTGGTAGCGTTTGATTTGGGATCTCCATGATAAGAAGATAGTCCTTGTTGGGGGGATGGGAGGAAACACTTCATGCAGAGTGCAAAGGCCTAAGGCCCAGAATGTCACAGAGCAGATAAGATAATTTATAAGTAATCACTTATGAGAAGGTAGTAAATTGGTCAGGGTTGTAGGGAGTTACCAGAATTATGATTTTTCAGATATTCAAACAGTGATATTAACTCTCAAAACTTGTTTACCATCCAGATAATCTGCAACCGAGAAAATTCCATTTATGTAAGATAAGATATATTAAGTTATAGAACACTCTGCTAGGACTTCACTTGATATAAACTTTACAGCAAACTTACTAGGTAAGTGTTCCTTAATTAGAGAATATGGGATTGGAATTTTGGACTGACAAACCTCAAGGCCCACACTCAGTTCTAGTCTGTGTTTTACTCAAGAATTTGGAGATGAGAAGGATGAATAAGACAGAAAAGGGAGTCAACAACAAAGCATTGTAAAAGTTAAGACAGGCAGAGGAAAAAGGCAATCTGTCCTGAGGTCCCAAAGGAAAACCCCAGAAACTGGAGCAAAGGCCAGGAGTCTGAGGATAGTTGTCAAAGAGGAATTATACAAACTGGAGCCAGGATTGATGAAAAACATTTATTGCATTTACCAAGAGAGGATGTTGATTCCAGTCTCTGCTTCCCCTTTGCCCTACTTTGTTCTTTGGCTCATCTTCCAGAAAACTGTCTATGGGTTTGAAATTTAGTGTGGAGTTTGAAGAGATTTCTTTCATATTAATTGAAAATATCTTGTCTGTATAATAAGTATTCTAATTAGATATCACATAGAACCAGTTTTTGTATTTTAAACATTTTAAAAGCTTTTATCCCACTAAAACATATTTTATAAGACTGACTAATTACCCTCAGTTGACTTTTAGGGAATAATGGCTATAAATAATTTATGTCAGTTTTTCTACCCTTTAACAATATTTCCATTACTGAATGCATGAAGGGCCTTAGAAATTATATTTTTATTGCTTTTTTTTTCATTATTAAAGTATACAACTAAAACCTGGTATTATTGCTTAATATTCTACCTCACCCACAATCCATAGGGCAAGGTGTTAAACTTTGTATGAATATGAATAAATATGTTTACCTGGCTCATGAAAAAAATTAAAAGAGAAAAGTGTTAAATATTAAGAGATATTTTTAGCTTTATATTATGGACATCTATTTCTTGATTTAGTCAGAGTGATTTTACAGTAGAATTTCTAGAAAGACCTTCATGATGCACTATCAATAAAATAATGATTCATTTTCATACACAAATATGCTTCTAAAATATGCCTTGCTGTTTTAGTAAATAACATCACATTCAAATAGTTCTCTTTAACTATTTGCATTTTTAAGCTAAGAAAACAGATTTACTAGGGCTATTTCAAGCAAATAGAATAAGAAGTCAAAGGAAATAGGATTCCTGACAACTGTTGCTCAAAGACGATTTAAATATATTTCCTTTTTTCAAAAAAATCCAAAGAACCATGTTGGTTTTAAATATGAGGAGAAGGGAATCTACCTCCCACCTGATCAAGACAGAAGAGTATTAGCCTAGAAGGAAGGATGAGGCGAGGATGGGGCAGAGGGAGGCGAGGGACAGCAGGAGTAAAAGTGTTACCGAAAGCTAAGGATTGTCTGTCAGCAATCCCAGACTTTCACTGCACCTGACTCCATGAGGAACTATTGACCTGACACGCACTTCTGTATACACTTATAAGATGTGTGTAGTCATACCTGAAGTTCAAGTCTTTAAAGGAGAATTGAGTTTCAATGATTCCAGTCGTTTTCACTCGGGAATGGAGAACATCTTGCTCATTTGGCACATACTCAGGAGCTGTTATTCTGTCTAAATCATTAAGATAGCTAGTAGGAACAAAAGGAAATAACACATATTTGTATATTTAACTTTGTGGAAGGTGCCAGGATTCAGCACAAGTGAGTTTTCAGTTTAGTCATTAAAAATACTAAGCCCCGTCTCAGTGCTTTTCTAACTCTGCTTGTCAGAATTGGAAGAATTTGGTAGCTGAAGTGACACAGAGCTGCAGAGCATTGAGTATTGCCCACAACTAACTCTGGAGGCCTCTTCTAAGGGAAGCTAAGTCTTCTGAGCCCATATTTTATGAAGTTTATGTGATAAATTTCCTGGTATAAAGATAGTAAGATGAAAGAAAACTTCTGACAGGGCCATATATATGTGTATATATATATATATTTAGCTGCCTTTCAAGGGAGTCACTAGACTTTCCTCAAAATTTTGTAGTTAGAATTTAGCCAATTTATTTTTTTAAATTTAAATTACAAAATTTTTTGGGCAGTACTGAGGTTTGCACACAGGGACTTGTGCTTGCTAGGCAGGTGCTCTACCACTTGAACCACTCTCACAACCCCCATTACTTCTAGTGATTTTTCAGGTAGGGTCTCATGTTTTTGCTGGGGCTGGCCCAACTGCAGTCTGCCTACTGATTCCTTCTGCCTAGTTGGGATTGTGGTGTGGCCCACCATACCAGATTATTTGTTGAAATGGAGTCTTGCTAACTTTATGCCTCAAGTTCCCAATCTCCACCATTCAAGCAGCTGGGATAACAGGTGTGCTCCTGGCCACCACGCAGTTTAGATTTCAAGAGAGTGATCCATTTCAATGTTGTCCTTTGAAGGTTGTTTGTTATTTTTGTGTGGGTTGCCCGGGTTAGCGCTCAACCATTTCTTTTAAGTGCCATGATGAAATCAAAATGGTCAATAAGAGAAGTACTTGGGTCTCTCTTGCTGGTCCCCACTGGACCTAGATCATGATATTGCTGACCTATTCCTCATTAATCACTTGTGGAGCCAGAAAGCCAAACTCACTCACTGTGCTTTCTTCTCCTTCCTCCATCAGTGTGCATTTAGTCCTCGTAGCCCTTCCGGAAGAACTTATGGAAACTCTCAGTCTTATAAGACTAAATGCTGTCTTTTTCCAACTCCCAGGACCTAGTTAGGGTGATGACAAGACTAAGTTTTATTCAGCTGTGTAGTCTTTGATTTATATTAAATTAGAGGATGGAAACTGCTCTTAACTTCTCCATGCTTGAAGCCAAATAATGTCTACAGATTAAAACAAGTGTTTTAATGTTTAAAATGTTTGAAAGGCACTGTTCTAGACTTTCAAACTAAGGCTTTTAGCATCTTAGAAATATAGCTATTTCTATGGCAATTTTAAATGTAAGTAATTATTACTTATCATAGTAATTTTTATGGTAAATTTGACTATTACATTGACTATTACATCCAGTAACTAACACTGGATGTTAGTTACTGTTCAAAAGTTGAATTTGTTTAGGGATTGAGATGCCTCATCATAGCGCACAATACCTTAAAAATCAAAGCTATTTTATCATTAACAAATAAATGCAATAGCAATGTAGGTAACTTATTCTTGCAGGATATTTCACTTTAAACTGAAACAAACTAAGATTGGACAAGTATCCTGAAGGGATTTGGTCAAGGACAAAAAGAAAAGCACATTTCAGAGATATCAGAATGTGGGAATTTATCATAATTATTTTATTCTAATACAGATTATTTTCTTGTGGCTGAGCATGGTGGCTCATACCTGTAATCCCAACTACTTGGGGGCAGAGATTGGGAGGTTCAAGGTTTGAGGCCAGGCTGAGAAAAAGGTTTCTGAGATTCCGTCTCAACCTATTAGTTAGGTGTGGTGGTGCACATCTGAAATCCTAGCTGTGTAGGAGGTGTAAGTAGGAAGAGCATGGTCTAGGCTGACTGGGGGAAATTCTTGAAACCCTATTTGAAAAATGACTTGAGCAAAAAGAGCCAGGTGCTGGACCACCTGCCTAGGAAGTATGAAGCCCTTAGTTCAAACCCTAGTACAGACAAGAAGAAAAAAAAAGAATACCAAAAAAGATTGTCTTCTTTAAAAATTAGTGATAAACCAAGATATAAACACATCAAAGAAAGTATTGGCAGATCTCTGCAGGTTTTAAAAATTCACTTTCTATTTGATCAAAGCAAATCTTTGGGGGAATTTCCAACTGATTATATCTATGTGACATGTTTAGTATTGGTCAGTCAGCTCATGCCTGAGTAAAAAAATAAATAAACATACCTACCAAAAAGAATTCATTTCAATGATAGTTAAATGAAAGCTTCAATAAAGACACTTTTATTTTTGTGTATAAATAGTTTGGGGTAAAGCAGAGGCATTAACAGACTGACAGATTTGCATTTAAAATGCTTATTTTAATAAACAAATCCAGGATTTGAGTGTTGAAGCTTGTAGTCTAAACTTAGGCCACGCAGAGGCCCTCAATACATTTGGCTCAAAGTACTCAAAGTGGCTGGATTCCTCTTTCCAATTATGTAGACTAGAATTCTCCTAGCAAAGCCCAGGCTGGCTCCAAAGCCTGTGGGATTTCAGTGGTGTGCTCGGTGGCCCCAATCAGTAAATTGTGTCATCTGAAGTATAACTTTGCTTGGTTGCCACCGCCATCTTGTTAGAACTGGTGGAACTCTCAGGCTGCTAGCCACAGTGCTCCTTTTCTTTACTGTGAATCCTCAACTTGGAAGATCGTGTGTTTACACACACAAAGGAAAGAACTGCTACAGACTTGCTGTATATGAAACAGACATGCAATATAATATCAATCTGATTTTATATTAAGGTAAACAACATAAATTCAATATTTGAAAAACTCTCTTAACTTTTGGAAGAAAGCAATGATCATTTGATACATTTTTTAAAGCAAACTTTTATTTAAGTTGCCCTTAAGGATACTGAAGAGCAGAAAATAGTTAATATTTTAATTTTTTGGTTTATATGCAAAGTACTTCCAAGACACAGGGAGGAACATAGCTTTCCTGTCTTTGCTGTTGTATAAATTAATCTGAGTAATCAAAAATGACTATGACATGGCAACATTTACAAAATCAATGCAAATAAAAGATTTTTAATTGTATTTAATTCAAAGAACAGGGAAATACTCTTAATTGAATTGCTAGTTGGGTAGAAAAAATATTTTAAGTACTGAAATAAAAGAAAAACTTAAAAGTATTTAAACAAAAGGATAACTTAAAAAAATTTAAAAGGATGATAAAATTTCCTTTTATTTGCCTGGCTTTAACTATATGAGTTGCAAATAGCTTTTGCTACCAAAGCATAAATAGTTCAATAAACACAATGACAGCATAATTTCAAGTACATTTCTTTCAACATTGTAAGGTAAAAATAATGGTTAATCAATATCATGTATCCAAAACTAAATGTATTAATTATAGCTGGCCCATCTCTGCTTATCTGCCTTTCTCTCTCTCCTCAGAACTTCACTAAGCAACATTTTATATTTTGTTCTGTAAGTTAGTTTCAAACTCTTTGTGACTGTTTACCAATGATTAGTGCAGGCAAGCAATGTTTTACTACACTGCAGAGATCCCTCTCGCTATTAAGACACTGATGAAAGTAGTTATGGAGTTTATGTAATCACAGAATGGCACCCAGGCTTTCCTCATCAGAGAGGAAATTTTGGAATTTGGAATCTACAATAATGATGATCACAGAAGACCGTCCCCTCATCCCTGTCAAATTTATATGGCTTGTTTTCTCTCCACAGTCGTTTTGCTCATCACTGATTAAAATCCAAAGCATCATGCAAGCTTGTTGTTCTGTCATAAAATGATCTTTTTTCATTTTTATATCACTTTTTTGTTTGTTTAATTAAGTGCTGCTAGCATGCTCTGTTGGCAGGCTCACAAAATGACTCTTTTATACATTGATAAGCATGGAGATAAATCAGAGTGGGTAATTAGATTATACCTGTGCACACATTCTTGCAGACATATAATGGTGAGATAGGTTAAGAACAACTTGCTAATTGGTGGGTGGCTCAAGTGGTAAAGGGCTTGCCTCACAAGGATGATGTCCTTGTACCCCAGTACCACATACACACACACACACACGCAAAAAGAGAATCACTTACTCAAGGGAAATTTTAAGTCACACTGATAATGAAATTATAAGTAGTATCACAACCTTCTGAATTCCTTATGGCCAATCAATGTTAACTAGATAATATTAACTGTGAAAATTATGTCATCTTTTTAGAGACATCAAAAAAAACCTCACAATATACAAATGTTTTGGAATTTATTGGTTATTTTCTTCCTGAATTTCTATTTTACTCATCAATCCAGTGAGCTAAAGCATGTGTCACTAACAATTGTATCCTAGGAGACAATTTCAGTAGCATTAATATGGATGATATAGATTAATACAGACCAAAGCAAAGTGTGCCTAACACCAATCTGTGCTAATGTAAAGCACTGTGCATACTGGTTAGTTCATTTTAATCAAGAAAAGATCTGTGCAAACATACATTTCTCCTCAGGAAAGAAGTTTCCATAATTTTTTATATCTCAATTATGTCACCTTGTTCTTTTTATTTCTCTTCCATTTCTTTGTAGTTTTCTATAGTAAAATGTAAGGTCACTGACTTTCCTTACTTGGGTATACAAATGCACAGTTTGCAGAATTATAACCTTTTAAATGTTTGAACTGCAATTCGTGTCCAAGCGAATGCACTTACTAAGCTGCTGAGTCATTGAGTTGGTATTCAGAGGCTCTCTCAAAGCAGGCTTGGATTCCTGGATCTGCCCATAGCCGTTTTATGACCTCTGCCAGCTGAGGGGTCATGTCCCCGTCTTCTAGTGCATTTGCCATGGTACAGAGTTGTTGTTGGTCTTCCTAAAGCAAGGTTGGATTGAGAAGGACAAAAATATGTTATCTGGAATATGTGTTGCTTTTAAGAGAATAGTTTAATTTGATGATTTGTCTTATTCCTTTTGCTAATCAATAGAACTAAAGTTCCTGTGATAGCCGATTGATGCCTGGAAAAATTCTCTTTTACAAAGCCTGTAAAATATGATATGAGGAAATCAGGATGTTTTGGTGTATATCACTGACTTCTGAATATGCTTTCAAAAGGATAACAATAGTTTGGTATAGTTGGTTGAGGTCCCAGAGGTCAAAATACTGGGACAAAAGAATAATGAAACTGATCTAAACTGGCATTTTTGTCTTCTGTAGGTTATAGCTGTATATTTTTTCAAGGAAAAATAAAATCTAAGTAAGAATAAGAGTAAAAATGGGAAATATGTTCATCATTATGATGATATATTTAAAATTTTAGATATCATTTTATTTGGCTCAGATATTTCTTTATAGTCATGCTAGTAAGAAGCAGTAGGAATTTAGAAAAGTCACACAAAATTTGTGAATATCTTTTTAGGTACTGTTGACTATATATCTTTGAAGTATGTCAGAAGGGCAGAGGAGAGAACTGGTTAAGAAAGAAAGAGAAAAAATAGAAAAGCAAGTATTTTATTGGCCTTGCTAGGATGATTTTTGGAGGTTACAAGGGAAGAAGGAATAGAAGTTTACTGAGTAAATAAACTCAATTTACACAATTTATAGTAGTCCACAATCTGTTTAAACTAATACTTAAAAACTCTTATGACAAAAAACATTTTTTATAGATTAAGACTTTGAGTTTCAGAGTAATTAAATTGCTTGTTATTATAGCTCAGGCAAAGGAAGATTTGAGACTTAAATGCTAGTTGTCACACTCTAAACTTTATGTCCCAGCTAGCTAATAATCCTGCCAGTAAATTGTATTACAGCAATTTAAAAGGCAATTGTGTGAGTAGTATATATCTCACATAATCCTCACAATCACCATGAGATAGACACTGTGTTTGCTCCATTTACATGAATCGGATCTAAAACTCTTAAAAGCTTAATTTTCCAAACCAATAAATCCAGTAAGTGTCAAAAGGAGGAGTCAAGCCCAAATACCTTTTGTGTAATCTCAGGCTGCTATGAATGAAGTATGGTTAATGAGAACCTGCTGCTTTTCTGATAGGAGTCAATTCTTATCTTAAATTGACTAGAGGTTTATCCCATCATTTTAACAAAAATATGCTCAATGCATAAAAAGAGTATGTCTCTGTTGTTAAAGACCCTGCTAAGACTAAAAAGAACCTTATTTCACTTTTTTCATATTAAGCTTTTATTGTTAAAACCAAGCTGATCAGATGATCATTAGACCCAATACTAAAAGATTCAATCAAGGCTTGATTCCATTTTCTTGTATTAAGACAGGATAAGCTTTTAAAATCTTTCCCTGTGAGATAAATAGAGGGAACTGGACATCCAGTGAAATGTGATCCTGTCCCTTTTTCTGGCTATATCCTATTTGGCTCCTTCAACAACTAAAGTGCCCTTTAGGACAAATGATGCAATGAAACAGCTGCTTACACAGTTTTGTCCCTGAAGGGAACGACTTACATGCCTGGTCAGTGTTCCTTTATGAACCAAACTAACATACGTTTTTCCTTTCTTTTAAACACACCATTTAAAATCAAAATACACTTTACTTATACACGTTATGAATGGAGCTTTACTTTAAACTTTTAACAGTTGAAAATTCCTCCTTGATCACCCCTTCAATCCTGATACTTCCTCTAGAGGAAATCCATCCTAGGGGGTTAATTCTTGTTTCTCCGGAGTGTTATCTTTTTCAATTACTGCATACATCGATGGGATCTGTGGTGCTCCATGGTAATAAGCAAATGGGGTGCTATTAAAATATAATGTCAAACTTTGTAAAGGTTTTTTGTTTTTTGGTTGTTTGTTTTGCAAAACTTCCAGGTAACTCAAATGAGCAACTTGAATTTAGAAATCCTGGACGTAGATGTGAAGGCAATCTGAGTGCAATATTGCAATATATGTCACCCCATTGATCACCTGGGTTGTTGATTCATCTGATCTGGCTGTCTTCATGGATGTCCGCCTCCTCTCTCCTACTCCCTGTGCTTCTGTTAGAAAGCTGTGCCCTCTATTCAAGAGGACAACCTTTCCCCTAGAGGAGGACTGATCTTGGGTCACTAGTTTCCTGTTCCTCCCAAAGGACTAAAAAATGTTGGAGTTTTTTTAAACACTCTTACCTGGGCTCTATTTTCCTTAGTACCTTTCTGTTCTCATGTCAGCACAGACTCTGCCATACCTCCATGTGCCTCATGCCAATACCTGCCATTGTGCAGCAGTGGGCCAGTACTACCTAGATTTAGATCAATGCACAAATGCACATTCGTAATGCCTTACATCTGGGAATAGCTTATAAAACTTACACAGTCAACCTTTTCAAAACCAAACTAATGAGGACCTTCCCATTCTTTCTGACTAATTCCTTGTACATAAGGATCTACAGAGCTCCACACTCTGCTGTGCTGCCCTGTTGAAACAGCAGAGTCTTCATAAAAACTTGTTTATCATCAGGATTTCCTTTCCTGAGGACAAACAACATTTCCTCTCAGTTACTGCTGAGTGTTCAGTGTATCCCCTCAATTACTTAAAATTTTGCTTTTTTCTTTAGTAGCCATTATACTTCAATGAGAAAACCACTAACATTTTGTGTATGATAAAACTAAAGCATAGATTAAGTAACTTGTCCAAACTTAGAAAACCAGTGACTAAAACAGCTCATGTAAATTTTCTAGCAGGACTTTCTTTGAGTGACAATGTGCAAATAGTTATGTAAAAATATATATACTTATATAAATAAACCCAGTTAATTGGAACTCTGAGAGCCACTCATAGGTAGTGTTTAGCAATTAATCTGTTGAATAAACATTTTAAATCAGGTACAGAATGTATTAATCTTAAAATCAAATATTGAAGAATGTGATCAAAACTGCAAGAGTTTATATCAGTTGAAGTCAATGTATGAGCAAGAAAGTGTCTGATAACCATGATATTCTGATATTTTAGGACCTAGGTACTTCTAAGAACTCAAGACAGTTGCTTAGGGCTGCTTAAGTCACTCTGTTACACTGTTCATTTTACATTCATTGTAAATAAATTCTACTTTATTTTTAGTCAGCATGATGGCAGCAAGTAGACCATCTATTATTTTCACTCCACTTGAATATCAGATCATTAAAACTCTGAATCAACAAACCTCAGATCTTTTGTCAGGCTTGGTACTACCCACAAACACTGAGCTGTATGAAGCACATATATTTTAAAAAGTAGTAAATTTCTAACTTCCCTGACAATAATATATGGAATACTACAGAAGCAAATTCTAACATCCTTAAATCATTCTCAAAGGAATAAGAAAGGTGCAGCTATTTCAAGTTATTACTTCCTGGAAGAAACAAAAGAAAATAAATCATTAAAAACACACAAAAAAATCTTTGCGTAAGGAAAAACCACTGAAATGGAAGTCAGGAGAAGTAGGTTTTGCCTTGAACTTCAGCTACTGGGAGTAAATCAAGTAATTTTTGGACCTTTTTTTTTTCATCTTTAAATTAAGGGGTTATCCCAAGCTGGCTCTTAAAGGCCAGGGTACAATTCTAGGTCCTTAAGAAAAACCAGGGTCAGAGATAATTGAACTTCCTTTAAATAGAATATGATCACTATGTCATAGAATAATAGAGTGAGAGGTTTTTGGAGTTCAGTTCCTCCAGATTTCCCCTTTACATGTGAGTGGAGCCAAAGAACTAGGTAACATAACCAGAGCCATGTTGAGAGGAAAGCAGTGGGTGCATGTGAGGGAAAAAGAGGAGCAAAGTGCACCGTGGCCTTCTCTTCTATCCTAACTATACTGTTGGGGAACACTTGTTTCTGACAAGAAATCTATGAATTACTTTGGGAACAGTTCAACTGATACTCTCTGGCTGTTCTAGCAAGGCCATGTGGAAATGGATAATTTCTTCCTGTGGATTGTACTTAATTACTCTTCTGGTGAGTGCGGCCAAGTATTGTCCCCTGGATGATGACATATGTTTCATTTGTCTACTAAAGTAGTTTTATGTGTTTGCATATAAACTATTGAATAGGGTTTATAATGTAGTATAGTATGAAATAATTATATAATATAAAATAGAGAAAATTAAATCATTTAGATGCTACCTTATAAACAAAACTATGACTACTTAAGATATTTAATGTAATTTTTTTAAAGATAAGAGTCTCACAAAATATCCCAGGCTAGCCTCAAACTTACAATTCTCCTGTCTCAGTCTCTCTTGTGCTGAGATTACAGGCATGTGCTGTCACACCTGGCTACAATTCTTTTTCACTTCCGCAACTTTCAATTCTTTTCCAAAAAATTGACATTGAAAAAAAGTACTTCCCCATTACAACATTGAGTGCAATTTTCACTAACCATTAATAATTGTGCTGTTATCATTAAACATTTTTAAAAATCTCCATGAAATTACTCATGTTTAGATATTGTAGATTGGACTTTATTCAATAAACCCTTTTATATCCAGCAATCATTAAGAAGTACTTTTCTTTCTTACAGTATTGTATTTGATCTTTAGGAAACTAGTTAAGAGTATGTAAGATTATAGTGCACAGTGATAAAAGAAATTTCATGCAAGGTAAAATAAGAAATTTTAAAGTGAACAGAGTAAATGTTTGAAAAATTATTTCATGTTCTTAGAATTTTGATATAGATTAGAACTATAAACATACTAATTTCTGCTGTTTCATGGCTCAAACTCCATTGTAGGACCTACAGCTATCACAATTTGCATACTTACTGGACTTCTGGGATTCCCATAATCAATCCCCAGGGTAGTCATGGCTTTCACAATGGCTAGGATGGACTGCAAGGTGTTACTATAAATCACTGCTTTGAACTCCATGCATTCTTGCTTACTATAGCCATTCTTATGGATGATCCTAAAATTGTGAGTTGAACAATTGATTATAATGAGCACTAGCAGTAAATTACTTGAATTACAGCATATATTCATTAAAAAGAAAGAACTGTGAACATATGTCTGAAAAATACTATGTCTTTAGATTTTTATTTTCATTGTCCTTTCATAAAATTCTTTCTGGGCTACCCCAGCTAAATATAAAGATTATTTAGGCTTTGTTGTAGATAAGACACTTAAAAGGAGGCTAAATCATAAGCACTTTATTTAGAATAATTATTTCTTTTTCAAGAGAAAAAAAAATCCACGATTTCTAAGACAAAGATATATACCAAGGTCTGAAACTTGGTGTTGTGTTTACAACATGATTTCTAAAGAAAATGAAGTCATTTAGTAGAACATGAGTGTCTTTTCCTATCACTTAAGATACACTGGAAAATAGGAGTGCCTGCTTTCTATTTACAGCATTAACAAAGGCTTTTTTTTTTTTTATCACAGGTAATTGCTCTCAGTTAAATCTCTTGTCACTTTTCCATGTGTGTACGTGCCACTGAGTTCTCAAAGTTGAAAATGCCCAGACATTTTATTTGGCTGAACACTTCTCTTCCTTCCACTCATTCGGTCAGAAGTCAAAGTTTTACTAATAGTTTGGGAATAATAGCTTAAAATAGATTTATTTATTCAAAGCTAAAAATCTTTGCTAGTGTTAGTTATATATATACTTCTCATTTCTATTGTATAATATGTTCTTACTCTTTTCTAGTTTTATTGTTTTTAAAGTGCTTTGTGCTCATCTTTGAATATATTTCTAAAGCTTTGTGCTGTGTCTATACACATAGAAATTTTAACATAGGAGACAAAAAGAGCACAAATGTCTCCTCTTTAATATATTTGAAGAAATTGGAATATCAAATGCAAAGATTTGGAACTGAAGGAGTGAAGGTTGTGCCTACACTATTTATTTGTGTATTTATTTACATTTGATTACCAATAAATGATTCATTTCTATAAGACTTTTCTTGTCTTGTTGCATTAAACAAAATATTCCGTGAACCAAATAAAATAGACTGCAATTTAAGGCAATAGGAAAATGCAGTAAAAATGTCTTTATGGATAGATCAGAAATAAGTTTACTAAATAAATCTTATGCTTTGTCAAAAATTGGAATTGGAAAATTATTTTTTAGCTATTATAATGGTAGTTGAGCATAAACTTGTGGCATTTAAGTTTTCTTAGTGGAGCAAGTTCGGATGGTTCTTTTATCAGGTAAGTCAACATCTATCAGAAAGAAAAATGACAATGTATACACATGTAAGTAAATGTAAAGCAATAAAATAAAAGGAGAAAAAATATCCAGTTGAAGCGAACTTAAGAAATATTTAACAGGATGTTTTGTTCAGCAGCTACATACATTAATTTCTGTGAGAAAGATCTATGTAGTTACAAGTTGGTTTCTTGGTCTGTTCAAATTAACATGCTTTTACTGTTTCTCATTGCATTATGTGCTAAAGAGACTGAATGAATCATAAGTTTCTTCTCTCCCAAAATATAGACTAGAGCTCCACTGTACAGTACTGTAGCCACTCCCTGTATCAATTAAAATGAAATAAAATTATAATTTAGTTCCTCAATCACATTTCAACTGGCTGTCAAAGCCACATGTGAGTTAGTGATCCTTTTTTTGGAGAGAACAGATGTAGAGCATCCCTATCACTATACGAAGTTCTGATAGAAAGTACTGGGTAAGAAGGAAGAGCACTTTTTTACAGCATGAAAATTCATGGCCACACTTCTGCATGTGGTAAGTTGTGCTAGAAAAGAAAGTGATAAACTCTATTACAAGTCGGTTTAAGGTATCAGGATGACTTTCCAAGAGCAGTGATGAAAAACTGATTTTTCAAGAATAAAAAGTTTTTCCTAGATGGTCAAAAGGAAGGGGAAGATTCTAGGCAGAAGGAACAGTATGAACAAGTAGATGATTACAACAACCACGCTTTCAGTATGTGCCAACCTTTGTGAGCAAAACCTCCTCATATGCAGATGTACTGGATGTCCTGATACTGTAACTGAAGGATGAGGAACCTCAAAATTTCACAACCTGTTTCTTTGTTTTTCTTTTAATTTATGGTACTTTTTTTTATCTCGCATTTCACTATTTTGAATATTAGTACATAATTTTCATATTTTGTTTAAATTATTTTATTTTTCCCACTTGCATATTTTAATTTCTAATTGAAATTTCTCAGAAATGTATTTAGAAGCTCAATCATTATAATTTTCCTATTTTACTGTGTATTTTTAAAAAAATTCTTCTAAAAGTTTAGAAACACTTTTATCAATTTTATAAACACATAATCTAAAAATAGGCTTAAAATTATTCTATTTCTTTTTCCTCCTCCCTCCCCTTTTCCCTTTTCTCCTCCTTCTCTTCCTTCTATATCAATAGTTGCCCTTTACAGTTCTCCAGCAGTGACACCTCCTGAATTTTCATACATTCTCTTCTACTTGTCTATCATCATTTTAGTCATTCAAATACTGCATTGTTTATTTACAGTACTTTTGTGTTTATTTCCTTGTTGATAAGTCTGGGTCTAGATAAGAAAGAGTAGCCAAGAGTGTGGATTTGATCAAAGTATGTTACATGCATGTATGGAAATATCACAGTGAAACTCCTTTGTACAAGCAATATTTGCTGTAAAAACAAAGTGAGTTAAAGTTTAAAAAAGAAAAAATAGAGACAATAAATGCAAAAATTCATTAAAATCTGTTATAGTAATAATATTAAACTACATTTCATTTCTATGTAGGCAAAATGTCAATGAGGTTAAAATATTGTTTCCTGAAAATTTCAAATGTTTGATATATTTTGAAATGTCTTTGGCTGATGCCCACAGTATTAAAACCTCTGAATCATTTGCAGATTAATAAAATTAAAACAGGGATGCCTTTAGAATTTATCCTGTTGAGAAGAAAAATGGAAATTACATTATGACTCAACTCATCTGTTAAGTTTCCCTCTAAGTGATGAAAGGGATATTTATACACAAACTGATAACTCTACCAATCACTGTGATTTAAAAGAGACTACCAGTGAACATTTCCCTAAGCATTTGTTTTGAGAATTTCAAATACATGGTACACATCAAATATTAAGCACTCAAAATAGATCTGTACCTACTTCATTTGTTTAACAATAGTACTTTTTCCAGATTCACCTGCTCCTACAACAAAAAGAAAAGAACATTACCAACTGATACATCAAATTTCTACAAATATTACAGCCTAACTATCCCTTTCTCATGTGTGAACCTTTAACAGACACCTCTCCTTGTGTTCTATCTAAAACAAGCATGTATACTATCAGAGAAATTATATTATTGCATTTGAACATATTTTGAGAGGCTTATGTCTTCAGGCTTTGCAACCTGAGGAAATAGTCCATGATTTCCTCAGTCTCTGAGTCACTTCCATTTGCCTGGAATGTCCCATCATATATCCTATTTGAGAAATTAGCAAGAAGAAAAACAAAACCAAAAAACTATCAATAACCTTTTATTTCCAGAATACTTCAAATTCTGTTCTAATTAAAAGATGGGCTCGCTCTCCAGCATCCTATTTACCTTGGTTGGCAGGTCCAATCTTTTCTATTTAAACAAAAGTAATTTGCTAATAGCATTATGTAAACCTAAGGAGTCTGCAAGAGTAAGAGATAATAATGAAAATTTCTCACAATGGGCTATGCTTTCCTAGCTGAAGGGTAGAAGGAGGGTATGGAAGATGTTAGAGGTGAGGAGCGAGCAGTAATACTACAGAGAAATATGTTTACTTATATGAAATATCTATTTCAGTTGACCATATACAAGATAAAACTTGATTGTGGTATCAAGTCACTTCTGCACCTATAATATAGAGAAATACAAAATATGCATGGTTTTATAAGATAAAACATTAAAAGTCAGTGGTTGCTTTAGCCTATATCAGTATATCCTTTAATCCCTTAATTTCCTCATCTATAAACTCAGAACACTCACCTCCCAAGATGAGTAGAGGATGCTAATGACATGATAAGTATGAAATTCTTTGCAAACCACATTGTGAAATTAAACACTAAGTGGTGTTTTTTGAGAATCCAAAGATCTAAAAGCCTGGCCAGATTACATAAAGAGAATAGTTTAACATCCTTTTGCAAATGCTCCATGTTGAGTAGATAATTGGATATACATACAGAAAAAGGATATCTATATAGAAAGAGGACATTGATTCATATCCCAAATATGTCAAAAATATTTGAAATAGTTAAAAAACTTTTATATAAATCTAAAACTATGAAAGTTATAGAGAAAATACAGAGATTAAAAAGTCTTCACAATCTCAAATTAGTGAAATTTTCCTTAAATAAGATATAACAAATGGACAAACAAAAAACTAAAGATTGACAAATTGGACTCAATCAAAGTTAAGAAAAGAAAAAAGAACAAGTAACTGAGTAGGAGGAAACATTTAAAGCTTGTTTTTCAGACATAGGACAGGCAGTCAGTAGTGCAATGGAGCTCAGGAACATTCCCATACGAATGTTTAAAAGTATAGGTATATGTGTGAACAGAAACTAAAAATGATGTGACTCTTGAGAATGAAAGTGAGGGGATTTGAAGAAAATTTTAATTACTGCTATGGTTTTCAAATGGCTATCACCTCCAAAACTCATGTTGAAATTTAATTCCCAAGATGAGGTAAGAAGTGGAACCAGGTGAGGACCTTTAAGAGCTGATTAGAACTCTGCCCTCATGAATGAATTAACCCACTCATATTCATATGAGCAGTGGATTAATGGGTATGCCAAGAGTGAGTACGTTATAAAAGCCAGTTTGAGTTTTCTATACAAGACCTGTCTCTTGCCATATGATGGCCTTCTAATAACAGTGCCATCTGCAGATGTGGACCTTGAACTTGAACCAGAATTATCAACCCAAAGAATTTCTTTTTCTTTATAATTTACCTAGTTTTGCTATGGTGTTGTTAGCAGAAGAAAATGCACCCAGGTGCTCATTTATGAATCTTAGACTTGCAGGACATAGGGATGAGGAAAGAGTAAATTCAGGCAGCTTCATGAAGTTTGAAATTTCTGGTTTTATAAATAGGACAAAAACACTGTCACCACAGTGAGTAAAGTCTAGTAACATAAATTTGATCGTACAAGTTTTAGATAGCATCACTAATAAATCGCTAGAGTGTGGTTGAAGAAAACTCAGCAATATAAAATTAATATGAAATCATATCTTTTAGGATGCATCCCCATGGTTCAAGCTAACATTTATCAATGCAAATGTGACATTGAAATACATGGACCTAAAACATGATGTAAAATGCCATTGAATAGGTTGTTCATCACCTATTAATTTTGGTGTCTCAAGGAAAAGAAATGAGCTTAATACATTGCAATCAGGTCCAGAAATTGGGTTATGAAAGAGCTTTGAAATTTCAATGTATCTGTTAATTTGGACAGATTTCAATTGCACAACTAAGGCAATTTTCATATTTCTCAGGAAAACTCCAAATTCAAGAAAACTAATAGACATAAGCATACCTTTTATCAGCATAGTGGTCAACTATGATTTACAAAGTCATAGCATTATTTTTATGTAAGCTAAAGTAGTAGATTTGATAACCTCAAATCTCAAAATTTTTTTCAAATTATATTAATATATTTGGAACTAGAAGACCATGACCAACCTATTTAGACTTTTAATCCTACCCTCACCCACTTGATCTTTTTCTTTTTCTTTTTTGGTTTTGGTGATTGAAATCAAGACCTCATAAATGCAAGGCAAACACTGTACTACTGGAGCCATGACCACAGCCCTCTTGTTTTGTATTTTGCTTTTGAAATAGATCTTGCTAACTTTGCGTGGACTGGATCTCAGGATCCTCTTGCCTATGCCTCCCAAGTGATGTTCACTTTTGTTTTCATAGCACTTAACTTATTCTATATGCTTACAAATTTTTCATACAGTGTTTAAAAATTTTCCTGTTGTCTTTCATCACCATAAGATAAATCACATAAGGATTAGGGTCTTTATTTTGTTTTGAGTCCAAAACACTTAACTTAGGGGAATCCCAATGAAATGGATGAATTCTTTAAATTCATTCTTCAAAACTAAGATTTTGTCCTTTGTACTATGTCATTTTTTTCTCAATGAAATATTATTATATGATTTAAAATGTTTCCTTAATCATTAATGAACAAATACAGCTACATCTAATTTTAATTCTATTTCACAGCAAGCTTTTGTTGTCTCTGGCATATCTAAATGTATCTAGTTTCTGCAGTTGTCTGACACACCTGCCTACTATATATGATGTTGAAGAAATAAGAGTGGTGAAACTATGGGAACTAATGTTCACTGCTCAGTGATGATATATAGATTCTTCCTCCTGGAAAACTTCCGTAACACTTCTTTTAATGATTTGATGCTAATGTGCTTTATATGTCAGGTAGTGAAATTTAAAAGCAAGGTTGATGAGTGTAAAAATCAACCAAAGTAGTTTGTTAATGTTTCTTCATAGATGTTGTAACATAATCCAGCACAAAGTGACAACTGGCCATAACCATCTCATTTAACAGACACTGCATGCCCAAGAACGAAGCATGTAAGAAAAAATGAAAATCACATTAAAATATGTGATTGGCCATTTTCAGAAGACTACTGACTATACTAATTTGCATGGCTAAGATTTATTTGTTTGTGAGGGTTGCAAGGGCAAAACAAGGAGCTTTTCATAATATTCTGGCTTGTTGACATCAAACAGTTTGCTGTTTTGCTATAGGCTATGTATCAACTTGAATGAAAAATTATCCAATATGATTATAAAACTATCCATGGTAGGTTTGTTTAAAAATCTCTAACAATAGAAGTGAATAGCAGAAGTCATAGCAGAAATCATAGCATCATCCTGTACAGGTGACAGTTTTGTAGAATATCTCACATCTCCATATATATATATATATATATATATATATATATATATATATATATATATCCATGCATAGATTCATTTTTACTGACTTAAAAGTTACAGAGGTATGGAAATATGGAAGGAAAATCAATGAAGTCACTAGAAACTCTAGCACTGACCCATGGAGAGTAATGAGTGTTGTGTTTTGTTTAATGAGTAGAAATACTAAGAAAAAAACCTAGAGAATATTAGAGACTGACTAAAGTATATCTCACATTTGAATGTCAACCAAATTTTCTTAAGTAATGTTATATTATTGATTATTTATAAAATGAAGTCAAAATTATGTAGACCATTTTCATTTCAATTAAGTATATAACTTTGTGATAATCAAAGTTTTAAGAATTTTGTAGAATTTGTATTAGAAATGTGCCTTGATGTGAAATGCATTCCTAGCATGTGTTAGGTTGTGGGTTTTAGTTCCAACACCACACACAAAAAAGAATTTTCCAGAATTGTATGGCTATGTATATCAAGGATAAATACTGTTTCAATTAAGCACCCCTATTGTTCAAATAAAAATATAATCACAACAAAATTTCATCTTTATCTCTATGTTTTAGACTAGTCAAAAATTTGTCACAAATTTGGAGAATAAACATGACTTTTAGACTATGTTGGAGAGTTAATACACATTAAGAACAGTCTTCTGGTATATAATGGCTACAGCAGCCTCCTCAGGAGTGTGTGAGTTCTGTTGCTCGTGTGGGTTGTCATAAGGAACCTTGGAGACAGGTTTTCAGTGTAAAAAAGGAAAAAAAAAAAAAAGAAGAAGAAGAAGAAGAATGGTCTTCTGTTGTACCCCAGTAGTTTGGTTCTAGGAGTCTCTACAGAAACAAAAACCATCTGATACTCAAGTCTCTTACCTAAGATGACATAGTATTTGCTCATAAACTTCATGCATTCTCCCTTATATTTTAAATCATCTGTAGATTACTTATAATACCTAACACAATGTAATGCTATGTAAATAACTGCTATACAATATTGTTAGCTTATAATGATAAGAAAAAGTTCTGGACATGTTCAGTACAGATGGATCTTTTTTCAAACATTTTCATTTCTTGTTTGGTTGGAACTACAGACAGAAACCCAGGAATACTGAGGACTGACTGCCTGTTAGTTGGTAGCCATACTGTGAACACTAAGACCTGGAATTTTCAAAGTTATTCCTGAAACTAGAGGATATGGTATTAAAGAACAATTC